CTGCCTCCCCATTCTCTCCCTCTCTTTTCTACACACACACATACATGCTCAATCTCTCTCTCTCTTTCTGTTTTGAAGAGTGCTCAGCGGTTGTGTTATGACAGAGATTCTTTTGTTTGGATTATGAGGCAGAGGAAAGGGGAACAACAAGCCTTACTGCTGTTTTTACTGTCAGATAAACAATATTTTCATAAGGTGTTTCTCATCCTCTCAGATCAGAGAGAGATGACTGATTGAGACATGCAGGATCTGTTTCCAACTAACACAAACACTCAGTGTGTCCAGCTCTCCTCCTGACGGTTGTGGAAATGTGTGACACTGCAAGGGTCTTATAGTTTGATGTAAAACAGCATTATGAAGCTTCAGCTATGAAATGGTCTTTGTTGCACTCATATAAGAAAGAGACAACATAATTTTGAGTTAACAAAATGCAGGAACATCCTCATTTTCATTCAAATCATGACCAAATCTGAGAAACCGGTTTTAGACCCGTCTTAACATTTAAAGGTCATCCCTAACATACCATAGCAAAACAAACACGTTTTTTTCTAAATAAAGATAGGCCTACTTTATCTATAATTAGAAATTACTACACACTAACTACATTTTGGATGTGATTTTGATTATATATCTATTTTTAAATGACATTTTAATCATTCTATCAAAGAATGTCATATTAAAAGAGTGTGACTGCAATTTTAAGCAAATTTTTAAGTTAGGCTTATATTTTGAACACATAATAGACATTTTTAAGGAGGTTCCATCCTGAAAATATGATGTCAAGGTCTAGTTATGATGGTCTTCTTAACATTGCATAAATGTCGACTTAAATCTAAACAGTAGATTATTTGGTCCCACTTTATATTAAGTGGCTTTAAGTACTATGTACTTACATTTAAAAATAAGTACAATGTACTTATTGTGCTCATGTTGTATTGTAAATCACTTTTGGTGCTATTGAGGTGGGATACAGGTAAGGTTAGGGACAGGTGTGGTGGTATGGGTAGGTTTAAGGGTAGGTTTAAGTGTAAGGGATGGGTCAGCTGTGTAATTACAGATGTAATTACATAAATTAATTACGGCTGTAATTACATGCTGGTATTTTTTAAATATAAGTACAATGTAAAAACATGTATGTACACAATAAGTCCATTGTATCAAATTATTAATTTAAATGTAAGTACATGGTACTTAAAGCCACTTAATATAAAGTGGGACCGATTATTTTAATTTAATTAATTGTATTTAATTGAACCGTTTAATACTTACTTAGCCTAATGATAACTTTTATCGTTGAGTACATTCAAGGAGCTTTTATTCATAGAAAATTCGATCATTGAGAGACACAAGTAACCTGAAACATTTTTGGCATCCATAATTAAACATAATTTGAGCCAGAATGCAAACATAAAGCACTGGTTGAATCTGTCAAGCATCATGTTGTTTTATTAATGTTATGAGCCAGCCAGCCGCAGATGAGTGTGGTCACGAGGAGAAAACATAAAGACCTGCATATGATTGGATTTAACCCACGCACCTGCACTAACAAGGCACGATACGATAGTAACGAAAGGTATTTCATCATCACTTAACCTAGACTGACAACACCCAAGGTAAACGGATGGCATTTTTTCATTAAAATGTTCGTCATAGTGAGGGTGAAGATGGGTTAAAGGTTAAATCGAGAGTCATGAACGACCGGCATGACGAGGTCCAGTTTAGGACAGCTGTCTGAAAAGATGCCTGAGAATCTGTTGTTAACACTGGTGTACTGCTGCACCCTTGTGGTCAATTTGAGCATATAGCTATAATGAGTGCATATACAAAAAATAAAATGTACCTGGCCAAATATAGGAAAACATAGATATGTATGTATATAAAATACAAATAACATTTTATATTATCATAAAATATCAAAGTGTAAGATATTACACATTCAGTAGATCATAAAGGTTCTAAGAATCCTCTCAGAAAACTTTTAGCGATTCTGGACCCATCTGAGTAAGTAAGGAAAAGACAAAAATTTCAACATCTGTTAAAGGGATAGTTCACTTTGAAATTATTTTTTGATATGTTTTAGCTTACCTTAAGGGCATCCAAGATGTAGGTGTCTTTGTTTCCACAGTATTTTCAATTTTGATATTTTTTCGGTCAAACCGTTCTTGTCTATCAGTCATACACTTGAGGTTAAGGGGGTCCACCCTGTTTTCACCTCTTAAGAGAGCATGCACAGAGAAGTCAAAATTAAACATGATTTAATGACTCATTAATGTAAGTGCACATTGATGGCCTAAGACACGAAACGAGCGGTTTGTGTGAGAAAACGAACAGTATTTATTTATTTAGGACCCCCATACCTACATATATGACTGATAGACAAAAACGGTTTGACCGAAAAATATCAAATTAAAAATACTGTGGAAACAAAGACACCTACATCTTGGATGCCCTTGAGCTAAGCTAAAACATATCAAAAATTAATTTCAAAGTGAACTATCCCTTTAATAAGAAAGCAATGAAAACATCTAGAATTTGTACCATGTTTAATATTCTTCCTTTAATGTTTTCTTTTTTCCTTGTATGCCCTCATTTTTCTTTTCCTTCTTTTCGTACTCTTTTTTTCTTTAAGACTATTGTTGAATAGTGTTACATTTCGTTTATCTCCTCTCTTAATGTATTCGGTATCATAATTTCTCCTTTGTTTCGATAGATTGTGTATTTGTATCGACTTGTTCTGTTTGTTAATATTGCATTAATAAAAAAAATTAAAAAAGGAAAAGACAAAAACTTTCATCTTAGTGAGGAGGCGGGGTTGACCCCGTTGCTATGTGTGACACAATCTTTTGAGGACTGTGATTGGTTTGTTGTCTTAAAAGGGGGGAAAAAATAACTATAGGGTCTATTCTGAGCATTCACTTTGAAATTACATGCATTATTTTTCCTATTTTACCATTCTCTCTCTCTCTCTCTCTCTCTCTCTCTCTCTCTCTCTCTCACACACACACACACACACACACACACACACACACACACACAAAAACACACACACACACACACACACACACATTATAGATGTGTATATAAATCTTTTTATTTTGTATTTACCATGCAGTTAATTTCATATAAGGTATTTGATTGGCTTAGAATAATAAAAAAAGTTGCACTCTTTCCAATGGGATTTATGCCCAGCTGCACTACTTCCTGAACTTCAGCCAGCTTCTTGTGTCCTGTCTGCCATTATTGGCCAGATTGATTAATTCAGGTGTGTCTGATTATTGTTGCCATGACTACTGAGGTCAAGCACACCTAAATTTATCAATTTGGCCAATAATGGCAGACAGGAAACAAGGAGCTGGCTGAAGTTCAGGAAGTAGTGCAGCTGGGCATAAAGCCCATTGCACTGATTGCTGGCATGTCTATTTAAGTGGTGGTTTCAATGTTGGTTTTTATAACAATCATGGAATCAAAACCAAGAAATATGAGAAAGCCCGACAGAGGAACAGTGTTTACTGTTAGCCCAGTTAGTGGATGACAGGTTTCAATCTAGAGTCTTATTAACTCACTATCATTCATTGTCTGTAACACATTCTTCTCCCTCTTTGTCTTTCTGCCATTTTCTCCTCTGCTAAAGAAACTCTTAAGCCTCTTAAAAGTCCTCGTCCGTACTCCTAACAATTTTGACTTTAAGACCTGTTTTACGGGTTAATGCTTAACTTAACTTTTTTCTTCACTAGGATTTTGTCTTTAATTTTAAGAGTAAACGCCCACATTTCTAAGAATTTTCTTAGAATTTTGTCACTAGGCACTACTCTTTGCATTAAGATTCTTTGTGAATACGGGCTTTGGTATCTAAGGAATTCCTTCTCTTAATATAGTATGTGAATAGGCACTCGTAGCCAATTGCTGACTTCAAAAGCTGAAAAATGAGTTAACAGCCAATGGCGGTAGGTAAGCAAGAACAAGCCGGCATGACGAGGTCCAGTTTAGGACAGCTGTCTGAAAAGATGCCTGAGAATCTGTTGTTAACACTGGTGTACTGCTGCACCCTTGTGGTCAATTTGAGCATATAGCTATAATGAGTGCATATACAAAAAATAAAATGTACCTGGCCAAATATAGGAAAACATAGATATGTATGTATATAAAATACAAATAACATTTTATATTATCATAAAATATCAAAGTGTAAGATATTACACATTCAGTAGATCATAAAGGTTCTAAGAATCCTCTCAGAAAACTTTTAGCGATTCTGGACCCATCTGAGTAAGTAAGGAAAAGACAAAAATTTCAACATCTGTTAAAGGGATAGTTCACTTTGAAATTATTTTTTGATATGTTTTAGCTTACCTTAAGGGCATCCAAGATGTAGGTGTCTTTGTTTCCACAGTATTTTCAATTTTGATATTTTTTTCGGTCAAACCGTTCTTGTCTATCAGTCATACACTTGAGGTTAAGGGGGTCCACCCTGTTTTCACCTCTTAAGAGAGCATGCACAGAGAAGTCAAAATTAAACATGATTTAATGACTCATTAATGTAAGTGCAAGCCCATTTCAAGCTCTTACCTAAGAAAGCACTTGATTTAAAAAAAAAAAAGTAAATGGGTAAAGTTTATGTTTAGGCCAGGGTTAGTATCTAGCTATTGCAATTACTATAATAATTTCAAGATATGTTCATGGAGAACATGACTGTAAAATAAAGTGCTACTGTACCTAAAATTCTTTTGAAATACATAGCTACCTCTGAATGACTGATAATAAAGACATAAAACAGTGCAGTTCTGGGATCTACCAGCAGAGGCTAGTAAAATCTGCACACTAAGAAATACACACAGAAATATACTTTTCTACATCCTTTTTAAATCAAATTAAAAAAATTCATCAATGTTCTCTTCAATTTATTATCATCATTCTATTCTATTCAACAAGCTGTTTATTAGTTTTAAAACTCATGTTTGGGTTATGTCTTAAAACAAACAAAAAACACAAACAAACAAACATTTTCTCTACATACAAATCGGTGCTTTTATTCATGCCTTTTTCTAACATATACTGTATTTATATATAAATTCACAGTTAGATCCATATAAAACTGAAATGTTTACCATAACATCATGTACAGATACATCATTGTAGAAGAGAAAAAAAGGAATGCCCATTTGACGTTAATTTACACACATGATTTTTAGTCAGTGGGTTCCCTGTAAAATACTATAAATTTTGGCATCACATATTTATGGACAGAAGGGTGCAAATCTTAGAATACAGAACAAATATATGACATACATACAAACAAACAAAAATTAGATACCACATGGTAAAGACTATAAAATATACAGACATCTGCTACACTAGTTTTGTGCACAAATGATGCAAGGAAAGTTTAAAAAGGTGTGAGAGAATGTCTCTCTCATATGACGAGTCCTGAGAGGACAGAACACTACATTAATGGTACGACCATCTCCTCACATTCAGTTATATATATATATATATATATATATATATATATATATAAACAACTTCAGATTTCATAATAAAGTGATAACTGTAGCCCATGCAGAGTTTGAAGCTAAAAAGTGAACTTGCAGTAAATGCATTGTTATAATGTCATTATGTTTTTGTCTAATGTGTTTGTGCCATTATTGCCATGCCATTATTACCCTGCCATTATTACCTATTTTTTTTTCAAAGTGACATTTATTTGCAAAAAGCAAAACCAAATCTTGCACAGGCTTAGGCTACTCTGCAATGCTTTTTAGACAAAAAATAAGTAGGCTATTACAAAATGAATTCTAAATATGTTCAAAATAAAAAACTGCAATTCCATGAGGCTTCTATGAGTAAACCTGAAGGCAAACCTGAAAGTTTGGAGAATCAAATATATTTAACAGCAAATGGCTTTTAATAGTTCATTAGTACAAGACTCCTTCATGAATAAACCTCACATAAAAGTGCAGAAGATAAACAATATGAGGCAAGGCAGATCTCATCTTCCTGTCCTAACTCCCATGTCCTTCACCTCATTATTGTTGTGCGGGGAATCATTCCAGACCTTCTGCATGCGACACTGGCAGACAGAGACCCGCTCCGTCTGCTTATGTTGTCCGTCAAGTGTCGTTCTCACACTATGCATGTCTGTGGGACGTGTCTGCGGCGGTGGAGGGCGAGGTGGTCCGAGCGGGAGAAGCTGCGGTCGCAGTCGCTGCATTTGAATGGTTTAACACCGGTGTGTTTGCGGTAATGCCGTGTCAGCTCGTCAGAGCGAGCGAACTTCCATGTGCAGTTATCCCACGTGCACTTGTATGGCTTTTCACCTGAGAGAGAAAATACGGAAATATCAATAAAAGACCGGACTTTTTATGGAACGGGAATATGACGTTTTTTTTAAAAAAGATGATAGACTCACCTGTGTGTGTACGTCTGTGGGCTTTAAGATGAGAGCTCTTGGTGTAAACCTTATTACAGCCCTCGAACTCACACCTGTGAATGCGTCTTCTCTTTGAGTCGGGCGACTCTGAAGGCCGGGGCCTCCGCAGACTCTCAATACTGAACGGCAACAGGGAACTGCAATCACAGCATGATGTTTAACGTTATTAAAAGAAATTAAGGACAAATACTTTTGTTAAGCATGATAATGGTAGTCTATTTTATGCAGGATGACAGGCAGAAATAATACATTATTCATAAATAAATTACAATATTATACAATTATTTATTCAAGTCCACTTTATATCAAGTGCCTTAACCCCGATTTCACAGACAAGGCTTAGTATCAGACTAAACTGCATATTTGAGGATAAGTCGTCAACATTTGAAGTGGTTCATCAAAGTTGTCCTAAGACAAGAACGGGTATTGTTCAAAATTCATGTACTTTGATAAAAGTTTTTGATCCACTTCAAATGTTGACTTGGCTACTGTATTTTAAAGGAGTAGTTCACATTTAAAAAAACTTTAATAATTTACTCACCCCCATGTCATCCAAGATATCCATGTCATTCTTTCTTCAGTCGAAAAGAAATTAAGGTTTTTGATGAAAACATTCCTGCATTTTTCTCCATATAATGGACTTCATTGGGAACCAAACGGTTCAAGGTCCAAAAGACAGTTTCAGTGCAAACTGTTCAAAGGGCTTTAAACGATTCCAGACGATGAATAAGGGTCTTATCAAGCGAAACGATCACTCATTTAACAAAGTTTAAGTTTTATAAGCTCAAATGGTCACCTTGCTTTGTTCTGTGATGCGCGTTCGTGACTCTCCTGTTCGAATTTGTTCATCAAAATGAACAAATCTTTTTTCGTGTCATTTGGTTCATTCAACGAACGAAATGAACAAGTTGACTCTGGAAAAGATTCGTTCATTTTGATGAACGAGTTTGAATAGGAGAGTGACAAACGTGCATCACAGAAATCGTTTAAAGCCCTTTGAACAGTTTGCACTGATACTGTCTTTTGGACCTTGAACCGTTTGGTTCCCATTGAAGTCCGTTATATGGAGAAAAATCCTGAAATGTTTTCATCAAAAACCTTAATTTCTTTTTCGACTGAAGAAAGAATGACATGGATATCTTGGATGACATGGGGGTGAGTGAATTATCAGCAAAAGTTTTTTTTTTCTTTAAAGTGAACTAGGCCTACTCCTTTAATTGAAAGCAACTTGCACTGACATATCATAAAATATGTTTTTTTCCCCCTCCTAAGTTATGTTTAAAAAAAAAAAAGCTACTTAAAAGTCCTCCTAATTAAACTAAGGCCTAATCCTGGCATAATCTAAGACTTGTCTTTGATACAATCCATTTACTGTGTACATACATGTTTTTTACATTACTTACATTTAAAAATACCTGCATGTAATAACAGCTGTAATTCATTTCTGAAATAGCATCTATAGTGACTCTGTTGACCATTCCTTTATACCTTTGAGAGTTGTCGTTCAGACCACACAACTTTGTGATGCTGTTTGTGAATGTTCGTTGGAACGATGGTTTCGGGAAACACTGACTCGTTGAACTATGCTTATAATGAAGGAACTTGCGACTAGTTGGCTAGCATGCTTTTGGTAAACGCACCAAGTCTTTCACCATAAATGTAAGACTTTAAATGGCCACTTGAGGGAGCTATAGGAATCAATGAATGTCAAATGTTTCTGAATGTCTGAGCAAAAGGACCCAGGGTCTGACTAAGACCAGAGCCCGTCCAACAGAGAGCCTTGGCACTTCCTATGGGCTAGGATGCTCGTCCATTTCCGGTTGTGTAGATTAAAGCGGAGGAAAACCGGAGAAAATGGGATTATGGCAGAGTCTTCAATATTTACTGTCCTCCCGTCTTTGAAACGAAACGTACATACGTTTAGATGTAATTTTATATATAGTTATGTTTATTTAATATACTTTTAAAAAGAAGCATAAACACAACAAGGGGTGTCTGTTTTATCTGTTTTTGTGACTAACGTTTCATTAGTATAACCATGGAGTATAAAATTCAATATAAATTCTCGGTATTGCATTGGACTCTATGATCGGCGGAAGTTATCGAGCATCCTTAATCCTTCAGCGGAAATAACGCCGTGCATAGAGCCCATTAGCCCCATTGTGTATCATCTTGGTTGCAGTTCCAGTAGAATTCCACTGGAGGTGATCGCGGGCGAGAGCAGAATGAATGGGAGTCTATGGGGCTAAACCATAGACTGTAAAAAAATATGGACGTAGTATCCGTGACGTCACCCACAGGTTTCTGAAGAGCGTTTTTGAACCCTAAAGTGGGCGGAGCCGGCCGTCGCCATCTTGGTAGTGCGTCACCTCTCGTCACTACCGGATAAATTAAAATGGGCAAAGAGGCGGGAAGCAGGTGGAGCTGAGGTGCTAATGCTATGCCACTGCTTTTTTTACTGGCTGCCCTCGCGCTGAATTGACAGCTGATGGAAAAAGTAAAGCCAATGCTTAAAGTTCATGTTTTTGCCCTTCGAAATATTATAATAGTTAAGACGTAACTAAAAGTGAGACTACTTTACTTTTTAATCAACTTTATTAATCTCACAAGGGGTAATTAGTTAAGAGCATGTACAAGGACATAATCACACACATTTCACACACTCACAACATTCAAGCAGTCAACTATGTGCATCGTGATGCATTATTATTCTGCTGGTTAAAAATGAATTAGTTACTTACAAATTGCTCTAAGCTTGTGCATGTGAGTGATTCAAGGCAAGCACATCAGTCGGCATCTCATGTCAAGTTCGTGAAGAGCATTCAGTCCATTTTTTACAATCTGATTTTGGCCGCCAGCTCCTCAGACGGGTCAAACCAAAGATATTACCTCAGAACTTCAAGTAAATGAACTAGAAATCCGCACTCATTCAAGGGGGGTGTGCATCTATTGCATGGACCGAGAGAACGTACTAAAATCATCAGACATCCATTAGTGCAAGCGAGGGAAACAGCTGGAAACACGGCGCTGGTCGTTCTCTCCATACTCAACACGACGGAATCCAACGGCGTGCACGGGCGAAGGTATAATGTATTAAATTGTATGAAATAATCCCGGAAAAGCACAAACACAGCTGAGGGTGACGCTAACAGAAAGCAGACAAACGACTAGCAGTGAAAGCGGCGGCAAGAATCCACCGGTCACTCAAGTGGCCACGCCCTTAATTATGCAGAACTATAAGGCTTAAATATATTTTAAACAGATGAGTTGTAAAAAAATTCACCCCCCTCACACTCGTCATGAAGGGCAAAATTAGCGGCAGAATTTTTTCTGCTGTGAAGTTAGACATTTTAACTTGATGGAGATACAGATTTGACTCCCTTTTGCAGCCAGCCTCATGCGGCCACTCGATGAATTGCAGTTTAATTCACTTCCGTATTGGCTTCAAGAGAGAGACGGGGAGGTTGGCCCTTGGGCTAAACGGCTAAATGTGTCTCTTTCACCTGCTTGTCGTTTGTAAGTTGTAAGTTGATTCTGCAAGTTCAATATAGATTATAGGCCAAAAGTCGAATGAACAAGTACTCATGTCCTTTTGATTTCTTATTCTTACAGGTTAGGTCGTTGTTGGCCGGAACACGCTAGCATTCTGCTATTGTGTGACGTCATCACAGTTTTGAACGGATTTTTAGAACAGATAAGTGAACTTAAAAATGCAATTTTCAGCTGAGTGTAAAATTACTTGACAAAAAATTACATCATGAGAAAAGTGGTTTTCTGGGGGTGAAAACCCATTGACTTCCATTCATTCTGCACTCGACCGCGAGCGCCCCCGCATGGACAGAGACGTGTTACTGCAGCCAGTCCAGAAACCAGAAGTAACTAGCCAGTGCCAATTCTCTTCAATTAGACATTCTCTGCTAAGACCAAGGAGCAGGACCGGAGCACAGAACGTTTTAATATATTTCACACTCTGAAGAAGACACATGTGAGTCAAAACGTTGGTCATTTTGTACTAATATTAAAACGTTCTGTTCTCCGGTCCTTTTCTTCAGATTTTTGTGTCCTGTTCCGAGAGCACTGGCTAGGCTGACACGCTCCTTTCTCCTTTCTATTTTCTGAATGTCTATTTAACGCCTGACAGGAAACCTCCTAGAGATGTATTGCTGATGAGCAAACACTAAAATAACATGTCTTACAGATGTGAACCTCTCTGATATGTACGTGCACTATCAGGGTGGTTTACAGGCAAGATGTTTCATTTTTTCCAATGTTAAATGATTTCTCGTTTCCTAGCTTAATATGTTCAGTTTGCTGGTGCTTACAAATGACACAGTATTATTATTAATTTTTACATTACAATATTTTCTCAGTTAATAATTAAATGAGAATTGTTTATTTGATGAAAACCAATGCTTTTACTGTGTTAATATATTTTGTGTCAGGGAAATCTGCCTGTTCTTATCCCATCTTGAATTTGATTTATATATTGTCAGATAAATTAGAATTTTCACTGGAAATATTTTCTGTGGCAGCAGAGGCAATTTCAACCCCCCCACAGAGCCACTTCCTGTTTCTTTTGGTCTACAGGAGTGCAGTGTGTATGTGTGTGTGTGTGCATATTCATGTGCAGGATGGGGGGCATTGTGGGGGCACCTGTAGCCTTTGGCACACTCCACAACTTTTGGGGCCCCAAAGAGGAAAAGAAAGAAAGAAAACATCCTAGATCTTTTCTCCTCCATTAAACAATATCTACATTTTTTAAAACACTGTCACTATTTTCCACATTCCATCGTGTGGAATTTTTAGTCGTCCAAGGTCAGAGGAACTCCATCTAGAGTGTTGTACAGTAAGAATCAATGTTAGATTGTTGTCAATGGGAAAACAGCAGCTGCCATCGGACTAAACTCAGCACAGTCATTTATGTTCCGTCTTTTGTTTGTATGTTTCCCAGTGGAGAACACCAGAGGGGCTTTCCAGAGGTGGTGACGTGCAGGCCAGCATCACTGTCTGCAGATCAGTTTATCAGAAAAATAAAGGTAAGAATGAAGTCCATTCAGCATTGACTAGCTGGCCACGGGTCAAGGAATATATAAACCTGCATCGACTCCTGCACCTGTGTCCACAACACATTCAACTTGAAGCATGCACTCCCTCTGAGACTGAGATCACTTACTTAAGCTCAACTGGTTAAACAAGGTCATGTGTTTGATTTCCAGGGAAAGCAAGATGGCAAAATGTGTACCCTGAATACGCCATCTGACGTCATTCATTTTAAGGCAACAGGGTTCCTCACATTTTCTTTTTTTAAGTTAAGTCACATGATCACTTTTTCCATAAACTTTAAATATTTAAACCTAATTATAATATCACAATAAATAAGGAAAAAAAGAACATTAGCGGATTTATTTATATAATTAAAGGTGTCTTAAAACATCTCCAGGGTGGTTTGTCAGATTTCAAATTTTGCCGCACAAACTGTATAGAAACTATTAAAACAAACACTACATGAATCACTGGATCGAATTCCCATTGATTGAAGAACCAACAGGTCAAATCAGCGACTCTCTCTCACACATTCTCTTTCACAATAATATTCACTCCTGCGCCTTGCTATAAATCACACTGGCACCTTTGTCCTTCCCAGACACATTTAGACAATTCTGCCAGCTTTTTTTGCCTCTGTCCATACTTGCAGTCACAAGTTTATTATAAATAAGCAATACATTTTTCTAGCAATAGCTCGCAAACAAATAAAGTATGGTGCCGCATATACAACTGTCTCTTCAATTCATTAAAGTGCCCTAATTATGGTATTTTAAAGGTTCCTAATTTTGTTTGGGAGGTCTCCTACAACAGGTTTACATGTACCCAAGAAATAAATAAATAAAAAAACACTTTAATTTTTATCATAATATACATTGCAGCATCAACTATATCTGAAACAATTTGATAATGGATCTTTTCTGAGAGCCTGCTCTGCTCTGATTGGTCAGATGGCCCAGTCTGTTGTGGTCATGGTGTACTGTACAATAAAGTAATACTTTGTTACTGTCCTGTATATTCGTCCTTCCATTTGTACCTTGCTACATGTTAAATAGAAAATTTATACTTTTAATCCTTTCGTTACATTTGAAGAGTTCAGATGCAAAAGCCTCTAAATGCCATTTGAAATTTTCTTCTAAAATGACCATTTTTATCAAGCTTGTATATTTAAGTTCAGTAATTTCCCTTAAATGACAATTAATAGGTCATCTTTATTGCCATTTAAGTGAAATTACTGAACTTAAATATACAAGCTTGATAAAAATGATCATTTTAGAAGAAAATTTCAAATGGCACTTAGAGGCTTTTGCATCTGAACTCTTCATTTGCAGCTGCAAAGTGCAAAATATAATAGAAAGCAATCTTTGCTCATCAGTCACAGCAATATCCAGTTCACAAATGAATCTTTGATCAGTTCGGTTTCTTTGACGAACTGATTCGCCAAGAGGAGTGAATGATTCGTTTTGCAAATCTTTTGGGAGACAATAACTCTATTTGTCATGCACTTTGATCTTTGAAACTCTGCAGACCTTTTACATTCACAAACAGATATATAAACCACTATATGAAACGCAATATCTGAAAAAGCATAATAGGGGTGCTTTAAAAAAGATCACACACTCATTTCATGGTAGAATTTTTGTAAGTAATCCCAAAATGGCAGACTAAGTCATTTGAGTGCGTGTGTCTACTCATTCTCTTGTCCAACATTAAATATAGCATTAATACTAACAAAGTGCGTTTGTAGATCCTTCAATTTATGGTCTAAGCACAACAGTTAGTATCTCAGTGAAATTTTATTAGAGTTGCTTGTGTGTATTGTTGGATGTTATTTGTTACACCAGGACGCTCTTCTAAAAGAGATTCTTAAACTCAGTGTGCTTCTTTCCTGGTAAAATAAAGGTTATAACAAGTAATATGTATGTTTACTTATATCTTAGTGCTGTCAAATCGATTTATCTCGATTAATAGCATCTCATAAACGTTTGTGTTTACATAATATATGTGTATCTATTATTACATATATATATATATATATATATATATATAAATCATATGTCTGTGTGTGTGTGTGTGTGTGTGTGTGCAGTGTGTGAGTAGATAGTTAGGTAGGTTGTAGACTGCATTATAAATACTGCTGATTAATAAAAAAGTGTGTCTTTACTCTTGGACAGCGCGGGCGATAGTCAGGGCTGTGGATCCTGTTTCATTCACACTCTCCAAGGTCACGTTGGGCAGGTCATCATCCTCGCTGTCACTCAAAGATCGCCGTGGTGACAGTCCATCTGCGATTCGGTGTGTGACTGCATAAAAACAAAAGTTTGTACAGTTGAATTTTCAATGTACATCTGATTAAATAATTCCACAACTTACAATCAGATACTGCAGTCCAAACAAACCCAGTGTTGGTTTTCCGTACTTGATTCAGAGTTTGTACATGGATTGCTGTAGCATAACGTTATGTATTTACTGTATGTGACCACTGAAATGCTGGTGTTTGATGAGAAATGATTCAGTTATGTGACTCTACAGTTTGATTCTATGGCCGTAGCACAATAGACCAATAGACACAAAAAAACAAACTAAGATTCTAATTCAATGGCACTTTGATTAATGTTTAAATAAAAGCTTTGATAGACAGCATAAAATCACCATTAAAATAGTACATGAAGTTATCTGTAGTCATAAAAATACCTTTGTTTTTATGTTTAAAATTAAAAAGTTAATGTAATTAATATTTAAATTTAATTTAATTTGTATTGTAAACTAAGACTATTAATTTTTTGTCAATTGAAATAAAGCTGGAATATGACATTTAAGTTTAATGTTAAATCACATCAGTGTAGGTATTGTAAAATAAAATATTATTTTGTGAATTGAAATGAAGCTGAACTATAAATATTAGATTGAAAACCTTAACACAAATTACGTTGCCTTGACAACTATCTGAAATAATAATAAGTTGAAGTACTAAAATAATATCAACCTCAGCTGTGTAAACTGAGCAGGCTTGATGTTTTGATGTTCACTTATGATTATTGATTAATTATGAGATTAATTATAATTAATTATGAGAATGTCAAGAACACAATGTCCACTTTGCCATGCGAAACGACATGCACATGAGTAAATAATGACAACATTTACTTTTTGATTGAACTCAACTGTTCCTAGCTCAAATGAATGACCGAATATAGTTCACTCTATTCCTATAATAAGAGAGCTTGGCATGTCTGTATTGGTTTGTTTTGTTTTTGTTTGGTTGTAATAGCAATTCCAAAGCTCTTTGTTGTCTTCTGTCATTCCATGTCTTGTTGCCATGGATACTTCATGAGAGACTGCAGAGCATAAGGGCTCGGACCCTCAAGATAGGGGGCTGGTCTCTGTGTGAGAATCGTGAATGTTTTAATGAACTGAAATTGGATCATCAAAGTGTGAACTGCACAGGCCTAATTATGTGTCAACCTGCTTGTTTGCTCACACACAGTGGGCTTCTGATGTAGATAAATGCCCTTCTCTGACTGGTCAGCCTATAGCAGAAAGCGCTCTGAGACACAACACACACACAAATTAATACAGATACTTATATGATGTAGGACATCTCCAACCTCTATCTACAACCCCCCCCCCCCCCAAAAAAAAGGATTGAAAAAAAGAGAATGAATGAATGGAAATACTTCCTAGCCACAGAGCCCATTAAAAACAGCTTTGTTGCCCAGAGGCAAGCTTTCAGAAAAAAGGATTTATGTGTGTGTGTGTGAGCGTGAGAGAGAGAGATAGCTTCGGGGTATTTAAGTGACTTACCTTATAATGAATCAAACTGATATTAATTTGAGAACATATTGCAAATATATATATACATATGTATATTTTGTGCGTGAGTGTGTGTCTTTTTTGCAGATGCTATTGTGTTTCCACATAAGCTTTGTCACTAATAAACCCAAGTGCTTTTTTTTAGCTAAGCAAAGTTTTTGCCATAGCATCTACTTCCTGCAGGGATTTAGTGGCCGTCTGTTTTGAGGAATATAAAGAGCCGAGCACAATGGAGCTGCACTTATAAGAGCTGAGCCTGTCTAACACACCGCTGGGCTCTGGATTCTGTCACTGACCCTGCCAGAAACACGGAAACTCGAAGAGAGGCTTTTAAAAAGCAGTGCTTTGCACCTACGGAGGAGGAGAGAGGAAAGTGGTGAAAGGAGGAGAATGAAATACTTTGCAGAAGGATGGATTTCTTAACCTCACCCACCGCTTTTCTATGTACATGATGTCATGAGTCGGCGCGCTTGCTGGTGTACCTGATGAGTTTGGGATAAATTACTTTAAATGCAGTTTATCATCGCACAATAAAAAGAAAGCAAAGGCTTTTGTATCGGGTTGTTATGTTTAAACACTAAATATAATGGTTGAAGATGAAAAAAGTACTAAAATTCTAAGTGGAAGTCGGAAATTCGACGTCATTAAAATTGACATTAACACAAAGGAAAATGTGTTATGGATGATTTCTGGAGATAATGCGATTTTGTGTGTTTTTCTTAAAAGAAATTGGCTGCATGAACAGAAATAAACTAAACATAATCACAGAAGTGTACAATGAACAACGGGTATATTCATAAAGAACGATAACCACTATTTTAATACATTTTTCACATTTCTTAAAACATCCACTGTACTACTATTCCTTTTGTTTGTTTACAACTTATGTAGATGTTTTGCTTTTAGGCGATCTTTCAAAACATTATTTTGTACATGCGGTTTACAGCAGAGATTCATCCGACTTTTATCATTGAGATACTTTTGTGGGTTTTATTAATATTTTGAATTGGTTATTATTTTTGAGTTTTCCCTTTTCCTTTTAAATTTGTCATTTTGCTTTTTGCAATTTTTTATGTCTATTTTTTGTATATATTTTTATTTTAGATATAAAACTAAATATAAATGAGAAACACCTTTTTTTTTTATCATATGCTGGGAATTAGCCAAAATAGGAGGTTTGTGTCACAGACAGTTCAGTAAGTTTGACAGACAAATTGATATATAACAAGCAGGGCTTATCAGTTCAGTAATTTGCTAACAGCTTGAAGCTGTCTACATGACTGCGACAAAGCGACAGTTGCAAATCCATTTTTTCTTCATGCCTGATTTTGCCATGCTGTGTCACACCTTGTCGCATCCAATGTAGACAGCATCACTGTTTATAATGGATTCTACGCAGGGTTTGAAATTAACTTTCTCACTCACTGGCCAATTTGGCTACTAATTTTACTGTCCATTACTGTCCATTCAGGACCGAAAAACAAGAAAAAAAGAAGAAATAAACCAGATAAACTGCACCACATAGATGTTATATATGGGGATATGGGGTGGTGATGGCGCAGTGGAAAGACACATGCCTTTGGTGTGTCCCTGTTAACCAATGTGTCCTTGAGCAAGACACTTAACCGCTAGTTGCTCCAGAGGCGTGCGACCTCTGACATATATAGCAATTTTAAGTCGCTTTGGATAAAAAGCATCAGATAAATTAATAAATGTAATGTAAAATGTAAATGTAATATACTCTTAAATATTCCTCTAAAGTTAATTTATATATATATATACACAATTTGGATTTCATACATTAATTTCGTATTCAAACAAAATCCTGTCATCCAGCCTTTCCTTATCACCATAAATGTATTTTAGGTGGACCGATCAATACAGGACGTTGGAAAATAAAATGTAATTTCTGTTAACCAAATGCTTTTTTAATCTTCGCTATTGCTTCAATGCAAATGAACATGCGTGCCACTATTTGTTGCGTAGTGACGTGCATGTTCAAGTAAGCCAGATATGCACAGATTATATTTAATATATCATGATGACTCACAAGTTGAGTATTTGCGCAATATCTGAGCAGATTTGGCTTACACAAACTTCCCCAGCAAAGTGAGTAAACGATATAATAAGTAATACGCCAAAATTGCTAGTGATTTGACAGTGCTACTCGCCAAAGCTGATTTTTACCCGCATTTGGCGGTTGTTAATTCCAAACCCTGGTTCTGTGTGCTTTTGTCTTTGGCGTAGACACAGTGTAAGATGCTTATGTCTCACCTTTCCTGTGCATCCTGTTTTCCTCTAGCAGCGGCATCATGAGCCTGCTGTTACCCAGCGATCTCACCCCAGTGTAGATCAGCGGCATGGGCTGCATCACCACCGGCACCCTGCGTGGGTGGAGGTGGATCGGGCTGGAGCAAGGAGGCATCAGCTGGGGTATGTGCAAAAACGACTGCCCCTGGAGACTCCTGGATGGGGGAGATGCCAGCACTGGGCCAGAGCAGGACGGAGACATCTTCAAACGAGGAACTGGGGTTATCACTGAAGTCGAGGAAGATAAAGGCATGGATAATGATGATGACGGTGATGAAGATGACAGAGACTTGCTGGAAGGAGGGGACCGTGGACAGAATCGTATTGACGATGAGGACGAGGACGAGGGAGACGAGGATAAAGATGACGGTGCTGAAAGTGACGGGGAGGTTCTGGCTCTGTTGGTGGACAGGTCCACTGGCTCTGTTTGCGTCTGGAAGGGGTCGGACAGGAACCGTCTGTCATCCGACTGTGTCCGAAATCTGCGGTTTAACACCAACACGCCCATCTCTGTATAGTCATGGATCACAGGAGACTGTGAAGAAAGAGACAAAAGGAAATTAGTTAAATAGTCATTTTTTGATGTTGTAGAGGAATATTTAAGGCTTTAAAGAAACTTTGCCATCCTTTACTCATCTTGATGTCATCCCAAACATGCATGACACAACATAAACATCTATTGTGTTCCAAAGAAGTAAGTCGTAGGTTTTTGATGACATTAGAGTGATTAAGTGATTAGTGAGTTCACATTTTACATTTAAATATTTAGCTTTTATCCAAAGTAGAGCAATAGAAACCAACCAGAACAATAGGGCAACAATATGCAAGTGCTGGGACCAGTCACAATAAATCTAGCACAGTACACATTGCAAGGATTTACAGTAGATATATAGAATAGTATGTGTTAGCATTAATGGGCCAAGTGTTGATGGAAAAGATGCATGAAGACGAAGCAGCTTGAGTTAGGCAGTCAAGGTAAAGGTCCATGATGTGTATTCAGCAAGGAAATCAATTAGAACATTTATAATGTTACAAAATATTTCTATTTAAAATAATCTCTATTCATCAAAGAATTAATTAAAACACTATCACAGTCTATCAGCACAACATTTTTCAACATGGATAACAATAAGAAATGTTGCTGAGCACCAAATCAAATAATCAAGTGATAACCAGTTGTGTCACTGACTAGAGGATTATACTCAACATTTTTAATGTCTGATAAGGGGAGGTTCTGAGTGAAATAACCTCAGATTGCTAAATTTAGATTGGCTGATATGAAAGAGAGGGGGAGTATGTATTAAGTATTTGTATTGCTCCGGGTGCGTGTTCACGGTGTCTTTGTGTTCAATACTCACTGCTGTGTGTGCGCACTTGGATGAAATGCAGAGCACAAATTCTTAAAGTCCCGTGAAGCGGAAGTTGCAAACGACTTTTCTCCAGTGTTGTGACGTATTTCGGAGAGAAACGGAATACTAAATGAGGCAAAATAGTGGGCGTGGCTTTTTTTCCAACTAGCACCTGATTGGATCTAGAAAAATGGGTGTTTCATTCTGAAATGGAGGATGACGCAAGTTTACACACGCTCTCAATCAATATTGGCTCGGCGCTCGCAAACACACAGCAGCTGTCAGTTGGAGGGGTGTGGTTATGGATGTTAAGGAGACACCCACACCGTAAAGCCTACGTCATCGGGCAAGGTCCTCCAATGCAGAGGGGAGGGGCATTTTCAAAATTTGATTAAAGATTACGAAGCCAAAATTTTTTTTGGTGTGGATTGACTTGCATGTATGAATTGTTCACCACAAAACGATCAATTTAGGCAAACAAAGTAAGTATGGTCAATTTTGATTTCATGGGGACTTTAATAGCCTATAGAGCTGGTAAGTCCCGCCCATCCGTAAAACTCCAAGTGGACCTCTAGGTTGAAAAAGCGTCAATGCAAGTGAATGAGAGAAAATTATTATTTTCTGATCCCATTTGAATTGTGCCATGAATGTAACATATGTTGTCTGTGAATTTTTTATATAATTTCTCATGTAACGAGTTTGACAGTATATTGTATGATTCTTTGGCTAGCAGTTGTGGAATAGACATAACGAGAAAGACTACACGTCGCATATGTGACGTCGTCGCATAACACTTTCCCTCCACAAATCACGGTTTTCACCACGCTCAACTAGTTTGTGCACCAAGTGCACCAAGGACACAGGCATGTTTAGCGGGATTCGTGTGCTAGTGGGGGTGACGTATATCAAACACGTCGAAAGAGTTGTAGTCCACAAAGTGCTCTCACACAAAGTCTAACCATATGAAAATTCTACCCGCTAAATTATAGCATTCTTTACACGAAACTTTATGTAAAAAATTCACAGACAACATATGTTCACATTCATTGCAAAATTCAAACGGGATTAGAAAATAATTATTTTCTCTCATTCACTTGCATTGACGATTTTTCAACCTAGAGGTCCAGCGAGGTTAGCTGAAGGGACGGGACTTACCAGCTCTATGGGACACCACCACACTTGGCTATTCATCACTTATTTGTTTATGAGAGGAAAACACAGTCTTTCGGGCTTTTATCCTAAATTAATATCAGAAAATCGCCAAAACATTCCAGTCAAACATCTCAGAAGCACTCACTCAGACTCAATGAAATCATGGACAAAAAGTGGTCTCCTGGCAGCATTATTTCTAGCCCAAAAATTTCCCTTCTGTTTTTTACTGCGGTTGACTTGGAGGCTGTTCAGCCGAAATGGAACATGTTTTGAAACTTCATCTCTACCCCATTTCTCTCTCTCCGACTCATGCTTCACCTTTACTACCTTCCTATCCATCCCCTCCTGCACGGCCCACATCCAACCTCTCGAATGGGGGGCTACCAGTCATTATGGCTAATTTTCAGAATCCGAATAGCTTCTGGTGAGGACGGCTTTAGTGGGGAGCAATGCATTTCCAAGAAAAGGGGCTTGGCGTTGAGCCCACTTAAACTAGAAGCACGTTTTGGCATCTGCGCTGCCTGTTGATTTAACACACTTCAAAGATGAGCTGCGTGGCCCACGCACATCCTGCACTCGACCCGAACAACGGGACGACAATGACAACTGTTAAAACGGGTAAAAAAGGGTGCAAAATGTTATGTGTGTGGGTTTAGCGGTGCATGAAAATGGAAAACGAGAGCTTGGGACACGGAGAGTGGGGGAAACACGTGCATATGCTTATTTGGTCAGGCCTGAAAATCTGGCACGTATCCTGAAGACTTCAAACATCAGACACCTTAATCTAAACCACTAGAGTAGACAAGCAATACACAGTATGCTAAAGGCAAATTAAAGCACGGTTACTTGGTGCTACTAAGAAAAACGCCTGGCATTTCACCCAAAAATAAAAATAAATAAATAAATTATATATATGAAGAGTTCAGATGCAAAAGCCTCTAAGTGCCATTTGAAATTTTCTTCTAAAACGATCATTTTTATCAAGCTTGTATATTTAATAGATTACCTATTAATTGTCATTTAAGTGAAATTACTGAACTTAAATATACAAGCTTGATAAAAATGGTCATTTTAGAAGAACATTTCAAATGGCATTTAGAGGCTTTTGCATCTGAACTCTTCATATATATATATATAGAGAGAGAGAGAGCATATATGTAGCACAATGAGGCTTATTTTTAGGCAGGACTATAACGATTTTTGCATTGTAACATTTATTTTCATTACAAGTAGACACATTTGCCCTTGTTTAACATATATATTGTATAACATATACAGCTGAAAGCTGTTCACTATTCAACCTAATTCATTTGTGAGACAGAAAAATGGCCAAAACCAGTGAAATATCAACTGACTTGATTCTTGTCATATTTTATTACCATTTTCCAAACTATAGCGAATAAACTGTGATAATGTGAGAAATGTTGAAGGAATGTTTCAGAATAAATTTTGCTTTGACTGTGTTGCATGTGGGTGTAAATAATTAGGAAAGTAATTGTCCTGAACTATCACTCAATAAAAAAAAAATCTCAATAAAAATCGACTTCTTAGTTCTTACTTTATCTAATAAAAAATGCCTTCATTTATTTAGGCTTTGTGACATTCACCCACCAGAATATGTATAACACTTAGTTTGATTTGATCGGTCAAGTGGTGTTTCAAGAATGCAGAAATCCTATAACAGCACTGGTTTGCATTAACTCTGTTTGCGTTCGCAGTGATCCAAACTGCGTGACTATGCTATTGGGTGTTGGAAGCCTCTGATTACACCGGTGTGACATCGCTTTGACCTCTTACCCGTCTCTGTGACTCTGCAGGATCGATTTTAACTGGCAGGGCTGGCATCCCATCCAGCATCAACATCCTGATAGCACTGTTCCTGTGAGGCATAGCAGAAAAACAACGTTAGGATTTAATAACTTGAAGTGTTAAATCACACTATGTTGTTCTGCAGACAGTCAGACATAGTGAGGAATAGAGAAATCAAATACGTTTGCTAAAACTGTGATGACACGTCTTCTCAACCTTCAATTTGTCTCAAATCACATGTGTTCGGTGACAGTCCAACAGATAAACTGTGAGGATGGTAACAGTAAACATATGTGAGAGACTAAGCCAAATGGTTTTAATAAGCATTCATATATCATTCTTAGAAGTGTTTACTACTGCTTGAGGTATTTTACAGTCATGTGAAACGCTGTTTCATTTCACTGTATACATGCAGTATAGAGCTGAAATGATAATAACGCCACCCTGACTATGGTCAAGATCTGAATAGATGCTTAGATTTCTGAAAAATCACTTGTTATTTATCAAGACAGTTCTATGTACAGTACATCTCTTATTGTGAGCATAGCAGCTTAAAAACAATTGCCTCAAATTTTGCTATTTTGGACTTTTTTACAGTGACAGTACTGAATTATAACATCTGGCTAGACATTAGTTACCCAATAAGGAATGTTATAATACATAACTTTGTAATGACATTGGCCATGTTGTCACATTCAGCTAAGATGCCAATGCCATTAAACATGGGTAGTTTCAGCAAGGAAAGAAGCATTATACAGCAGTGTTTACAGCAGTTAGTATACATTCAGTGTGTTCATGATTTAACGTGGTGTGTGTGTGTGTGTGTGCATTTGTTTGAACCATGTACACACTTTTTAAATGAAAAAGTTAACTGTCCATGTACTAAATGTCAACAAATAGCTTCCAATTTCCAGACAGCAGGAAATTAGAGGTGTGAAACATTTACACTTGCAAAAATGACTAGAATTCAAATGGACAAGCTGTTACTTTCACTACCAGAGAATCACCCTCTGCTAGCAAATACAAGTGCCCTGCTTCAGCAATGCCATTATAAATGTAACTGGTAGGCAATGGGCCAATTACATGATACAAAAAAATTGCCACCGGATCTATTGATTAAAATCTTCAATACGGCTATTCAATGAGGGTGATTTTAACTTCTGAATTAAAATGAATTTGTTAATATCAAAAATGTCATGGTGATACAGCTTCCCTAATATCTTATTTAAGAAAAAACTAAAAGAAAGAATTAAAAAAATGTATCTTAAAATAAATCCATAAAGCAGTTTGGCACAATCTCTTATTAATATATTGTGTAAAAAATGTTTTAACAAAACCACTTCACTAAGTCATGTGAAACCAACATGGAGAAAAAAAGTAATTATCAATAATATCAAAGAAGACCCTTATGACAAGTCTCTTCAAATAGTTGATCATTTGACTTTTTTATGACAAAACAAGTTTGTACTGTAAGTCAGGTTGTAAAACATCAAATTGTGAGACTCAAAAAATATATGAGTTTAATAATAAAAAAACTTATTTTTAATGGTTCATTCAGTTTCAAATTTTCATAAAATGGTACAAACGTACATAAAACAGAGTGTACATAAGAACATGGCACATCGTGAACACTTTGTCATTGACCTTTATCACATTTTTGAGGAAATTCTTAAAGGGGTCATCAGATGCCCATTTTCAACAAGTTGGTCTGATTCTTTAGGGTCTTCATGTAAAGTTTGTAGCATACTTTGGTTAAAATTCCTCAATGGATGTGTAAAACAACACCCTTTTTACCTCCTCAAAACAGCTCTGTTCAAAGCGACCCGTTTTGGTAAATGTCTCTTTAAATGATAATGAGCAACTGATTTTTTTTTTTTTTACTAAAACTAAACACAGAAGAATAGGCAGCATTGGCTCACAAACTTGCATGAAGTGCATTTATAAGTGTTGCACAAGTCATAAGCTCCCTTATTGGTTCTTGGAGGTCATGGTGTTAGCCCAGTCTCATAACTCTACATCACTGACAAAAAGAGGAGGTGGATTATATCTGGAAATCACCTGATTTCTTCTTGTTCCTGCAGTGCTTGCAGATTCATTAGAGACAGAAAACTGCTGACTGTTTTGGCTTCTGTTGACCTGGTTAGTTTAGACCTGCCTCTCTATGTGTGTGTGTGTGTGCGCGCCATAATCCTTGGCAGACAGGAAACGGGTGGGGTCCGAAAGGCTGTGCCCACTTAAAACCCCTACTTCCAAATGCTGTGTATATCCATGTGAGCCTGGGTTTTCAAAACAGAGAACGCCCAAACCCACATTAATGGCACCAATCTGAAGACACTTCACTTCCCCATGAGTGCTCCTACCAGAGAATCTCAACTTTAAAGCATTGGTGCACACCACACCCAAGTGCTGATTGACAGCACCCAACGTCACATGTGTGCATATACAGTAACACCTCGTACAGCATATTTAAGGCTTCTACGAGTTCTCTGGTAAAGCCATTATAATTTTTTGGTTGTTTGGGGGTGGTTGGACCTTGTGGTATTTGAGGTCCCTACCTCGACAGCATTTATAGCATCAGACCGTAGGTGCACTTTCAAAACAAAGGCTTTTTCCAAAAGGTAAGAGGTAACACACTGAACAACCAGCTAAAACTAGCTGAACACCCTACGATATCTCACGACCAATTCGTACGAATTCATACGAGTGATTAAAAAGTGGCTAACTCGTACTAATTCATACGACCTCACTCTTTTGACCTCATTTGTCCAAACCCACGTGATGGGTAGGTTTAGGGGCGGGGTCAGGGGTAGGTCATTCGTACAAATTCATACGAATTGGCCAATTCATAAAATATGTACGATTTAGCAAAAACATACTAATTTGTACGTGTGAGGTCGTACGAATTAGCCACCTCGTAAAATTCGAACGAATTCTCGTGATATCGGGTTGGAACACCAGCTTGGCCTGAGTGGGAGGCAAGCTTGACCAGCTTAAACCAGCTAAGACCAGCCAACAAGTGTGATAAAGTAGTTTTATCTAATGGCAAATTCATGGATGTTATTAAAGTATTAAGTCATTAGCTTAGCAACATGCTAACTTCAAAATTGAAAACGAGATCTAATAAAGCAAATCATCCTTGGTACATTTCACTCAGAGAGAAAGCAGTGACTCCACATTTTTTGTGGGGAAGTTGGCAAGTATCATCAGAATGTGACCTTGGGTCGGAGCCGCTTCCTGCCCACTGCCATGCTACTGATAACCAGGCTCGAATCTCACCAACAATGTCTCCTGTACAAACATCTTCCTCGTCTCCACTCTTCCCTTTTCTCCTTCCTCCCCAGGAAAGATAACAGACACAACTTAGTCCCTTTACTCACAAAACTTTGAGATACTGCTCCCAAGATCAGACCTATCCCTTTTAAAATTGATCTTATTAACCAAGTGCTGAAAAATTGAGCACACTGCTCTGGATCTGTCCCCAAGATGCAGACTTCTTCTGGATTCTCCTGCTTTGCGTAATTGTCTTTTGCCAAAAAGCCTCGAGTGACTTCAGACTTTCCATTTCAACAGAGCTCATTTTCCTTGGCAGGACAACTTCTGTCGGATAGAGCCAGGACATTGTCAAACCTCCAAGAGAGAAAAAGTGAGGGAGAGAAGAAGTGTGTGTGTGTGAGGAACTGCACGGGAGAGGTGTGCTATTACACTATTTGAATCAACTGTGAATGCACAGCAACGTTTAAAAAAAAATATTGGCCAGACCCTTGAAGTAAAACAATGCCAGGAACAGATGTGGCCACTAATATAAACATTCCAGTCTTCTGTACCGACTCTTCTTGTTCAGCAGATCTCTGAACAATTTCATCTGAACTTGTGATGCCACTAAATATGCTCATAAATAATATTCTCTCATTCTCTCTTGGTTCCTGTTAGAATATTCTCGTTTTGTTCCTATCCATGTCTCGTTATTGAGGAGATCTACTCTATCAGTGATTGAACTGTGGTAAATGTGGTCCCCAGGTGGGACATTTCTCTCTTAAGCCCGGAACACACCAAGCCGACGGTCGGCCGTCTGGCAGATTTTGTGCGCCGGCCAACTAAGTTTCCTCGGTGTGATACGCACGGTTCCGTGCCGTTGGCTGAAAATAGTCCTCGTCGGCTTTGTTTCGCCCGATTCCACATGTTGAATCGGCATCGGGCCGTTGGGGAAAGAGAGAACTCCGATTGGCTGTTCAGCTTAGTGAAAGAGTCAGTGCACGAGAATAAAAGCAAAACAAAGAAGCAAAGAAGTCAAAACGGCAAAGGTAGAAGGCTGTTCTTATGTTACGTCTTCTTACCTGAGTGTTCCTTGGCGAATATTTCAATATTAACATGAGCGGAGTGGCAGACTGAGTGGAGTGCCACGCCAATTCGTATTTCCATTTTTGGCGTGCTATCAAGACGCATAATCGCTTTTCATCGTGTTTATGAACGCCGTTGACTTAACGTTATATAAATATATGACTTACCTCAACCCCGTCCCTAAACCTAACCGTCACTGGGGTTAATGGCATTTATAACTGTTCCCTTACAATCCTAGGTAAAAAAAAGATATGACTTACCTCAACCCCATCCCTAAACTTAACCGTCACTGGGGTTAATGGCATTTATGACTGGAGATTTGACTGCGTGTACGGACACGCGGAATGACGCGGACGTTAATGGCGTAGACATACACGCGGGTACACGCGGATAGCTCAAAATGCGTAGAGATAACACGCCACCTGACTCGAAAGTGGCGTGTATGTTTACGCAAAAGTCATGATGTCATGTTGGGAGTGGAATAAAGAAAGTGTTTAGCAGGATTGATATTCAAAATGGTAAGCACACGTTGCTTTGTTTACGTTATGTGTATCTGCAGCCAGCAGCGTCAGTTTTCCTTTTTGAATGACGAATATAGACATATCTGCAGAAATAGACAGTTGGCTCATTAAACGCAGGCGCAGAACGCACATTATAGCTGAAAGTCGGCTGCAGTTCTCTCGGTGTGTTCAAGTGCAGCTTTTTACCTCGACGAGAGGCGACAACACAGTCGGCTTTCATCAGCGCTAGTTCGTTGGCGTCGGGTTGGTGTGTTAAGGGCTTTACAGACAGACAGACAGATATAGATGTATATAATTCACTCAACCAATTTTTTTAAAACATGGACTCAACACCACAACTGTGTTGCTCACAATCTCAAATTCTGCTGTGTCAAATTTTGTGTCTAAATATACGTTCAATATTAACTTTTAAAGGATTGTTTATGTAACTGTTGTATGCAAGGGATAATGCACAGCCACCATGGATAATGTTTACATCACCCCATTTCTAAAGAAGTAAATAATTCAACACAAAATAGTGATTTGAGTTCAAATGTTATAAAACAAACTCAAAGCTTCGGCAAAGATACAAGTTATTGGCAAGCTGCTTTAAGTAAAGACAAACAAACAAGTTTAAACAAGACATACATATAATTAAAGGATAATGTACTGTCCTCACACACAGCTTCTCATCAAGCAAATACTTATTGACATGTTGATTTGACCTGAAATTGTTTAAAAATCAAACTTGTTTATTATATTTAAAAAGTATTACACTAAGGATCTTTCAAAACAAATGATCTGACAACGAGACGAAAACTACATCAATATTACTGTAAAATGAATAATGACAACCTCTGAAGTTATTTTCAGAGAGAATGTTCGAAAGGTGATAAAAGAGTCAACCAAGTATCACTGGTTTCAGTTACGCTTAAGAACGTTCTGATATGTGGGGGAGGGGTTATCAAAAATATCAGACCGATGAATGGCGAAATCGACCAAATCAGAATCAGGTTTTCCAGAGAACTGAGTAAGCAATTGCATATTGCACTATTGTTCCGTAATTCCGAATATCAGGAAGGCTGTGATTACATTTTTTTTAACTGTAAATTTATATAGTTTTACATCTGATCTATCTAGCTTGAACAGTTATATGTTGCGGACAGTCCATAAACAAGCTCTACGAGAGTTGTCAATTTGTTAAGTTCTAAAAAAAAATGTTAACAATTCTTAAAAGAACAATCAAAGGTGGCCCAAACACTTAAAATTCTACACTAAGACCGTGTGTCCACAAAGCGTTTTTCTGGCGTATGTTTTTAATTGTTTTCAATGGGAGCGCAATGTTTTTTAAACGCCATGAGCGTAAACGAGGTGCTGAGCGGTTTTTTTTTTCACGTTGAAGCGCCGAGCGCCCAGCGTTTTTACTGGTCGCCGCCTCACCGGGAGTTGAAAAATGTTCAACTTTGTATAAAACGCAGCGCTCATCACTGTCACTTTTTACCCACCCGTCCAATCTCAGTGGAGGAGGGGCGGGACTAAACCACACCGACCAACTGTCACAACATTCTTTCTGTACAACGACATCAACCAACAGAGCAAACCGAACAAAATGGATGAAAAATACATTTTTAGTATGAAACAAATAATCTGCGAAATCAGTTACAAGTAAACCGCTGCGCTGACAAAACCCTCTCAAGCACCCAAAGCACGGCGTCTTCAGCAGTGTCTGGCGTTTTCATGTGGCTAAAAACGCTTTGGTGGACACATGGCCTAAATGGTAGTTGGAGAATTTATTGAGTCAGTGATCATTCAGGAAATCTTGATCAAACTGACTGACCTCTTGGCATCCCATTTCACGCACCTAGTGGTGATCGGTAGTTGTAAAGAGATTTTGGCATTATGGCTACAATAATAAACATTCTAGACATGATGTTGATATAAAACCCTTGAATGCTCTTCATGGATGAAATAGCCTTCTCTCTCAGCCTCACAATCGATGCTTTGTGTGAAGATTCATCTGCTCCTCGCAGTCTTTAAAGTAAATAAACACTACAGAACGTCTCCAGCAGATTCCTCAAATTTAGTTAAAAAAAAATAAAAAAATCAGGCTTCTGCATATTCCACTTGCCTTCAGAGAGAACTAGGAGTGAACACGCTCACTTACTTACACATCTGCTATTGATTTGAGGGGAGCCTGGAACCCCTCCGTTTAAATCTGTCAGTGTTAGGAGCGGATAAGTTAGTATTTACTGACCTCATGTGGGACCTACTTGCCTCCTGCCATACAGGTGACAGCGCCTGTCTGTGAATGGAAAGTCTGGTCTATCAGGTATATGGCAAATGAATATGTAGATTTGAAAATGATTGTTGAATGACAGAAGCTACAATCAGTTTCTTTTGCCAAGAGATTTCTATTTAATATGTAGCATGTGTCAGATAGATGGAAACAGGCATATAAGAATAAGGCTATATGAGAAGAGGTCATTCCAGATCTTCTTAGTCTTACCCCATAATGCCTTTATGTATAATCCAACCATGTGTCTTTTCTGTCTCACAGAAGACTAAGTCGATGGAAGTAACAGGCAGTGCGCTCTGAAAAGTGAAAGTGTCAACAAATGTTTTTCCTGTTTCGCAAACAACTCAACTAAACCTCAAGACACAGTCTGCATTTTTTTTTTTTTTTGCCCCATCTTGTCTGTAATATCTTCCTCATCTGCACAGTGTGTTGTAAGAAGTTATTGCAGGTTCGAGATCAGCTTTACAATGGTGAAGATCAAGCCCTCACTAAGCAAGACTGCTCCCAGATCAGGCAAAAAAAGATGACAAATGGCCTCTTGGTCACAGCTTGGACTGGTTTGCTGTGCTCTCTTCCATGAAAACAGCGGGCCAGAAACATCTGAAGCTCTCTCTCTCTCTCTCTCTGGTGTTCCGCTGGACAGGGTGAGACAGATGTGTGTAATTTGACTTGAACTATTGAACCGCATGTTTATTATCAGAGGTCTGGCACACACCAGGTTGCGCAATATCTGAAGGCCATGTTATTAGGCAATATTGTGCAATGTGTGGCGTCGACCGTGAAGAGTTTAAGAAAAATGTGCTCCTTGAAAATTAGAGGTTGAATAATAGGGGCAACTAACAATTTTAACATTCCCTAATGCAGGTCAGTTGACTCAAACTAATCATAGAGTGACTGTGTGGACTTCCTGTTTTTTTATTAGGAAGCAGCCTCTGAGAGGCACATTTTTTGGATCGTGTCTGCTCTAAATAGTAGAAAATGAGCCCATCTCTATTTAAGCTAGAGTTAATTGTGCTCAGCTGAGCAATCTATTTTGCACTTTGTACAGTGTTACAGCTTTCTGTCTTCACACCTCTGATTGCTCTCAAATTGGTGAAGTATATACAGAAGGGAATTACATTTTCAACTGTTTTGGAGAGGACACGCATTTTCTATGCTGTGCTTGCATGGCTATGATTGGGCGGGCAGGCTGTATAGCTAAAAATGTATATATAGATAGTTTAATGTTATATATTTTTGTTTTAGATTTAAAAAAAATGCTTGTATATATATATATTTATTAAATTGTTCAGAAATTGCTTATTGTTTTATTGAAATATATATATATTAATACATGCCATTTTTTGTTATTATTTTAATTTTTTTAGTCAAAATTCACCTTTATATATGGTATTGTGTGCCATATAAGACAACACAATGGTAAAGGATGAATGGGACTGGACTGTGATTCAGGCTTGACTCTATATATATATATATATATATATATGAAGAGTTCAGATGCAAAAGCCTCTAAATGCCATTTGAAATTTTCTTCTAAAATGATCATTTTTATCAAGCTTGTATATTTAAGTTCAGTAATTTCACTTAAATGACAATTAATAGGTAATCATCATTGCCATTTAAGTGAAATTACTGAACTTAAATATACAAGCTTGATAAAAATGATCATTTTAGAAGAAAAATTCAAATGGCACTTAGAAGCTTTTGCATCTGAACTCTTCATATATATATATATATATATATTTAATTAATAAAACACTTAAAAAGGCATACAATCCAATTGAATCAAGGATTAATTAAATAATTCATACAATAATTGAACCAATTACCTATTTAAATAGACTATTTAGCCTATTACCTAATTACCTATTTTAAACCTTACTCTAAGTAACAAAGACAAACGTTTTAGTGAATTTCATAGGCAAAATTCATAATATTGGTTAGTTCTACATCACCAGAAAAGAATTGCAAATACATCATGAATATACAATATGTCACCCTGCCGTCCAAACAACCACCCACTAAGGTGTTTGAAAGTCTTGCCTGTTTCACAGCTGGAGGAGATCTGCCCTCATTCCCAGTAGGCTGTGCGGACTCAGGAGGCAGCGATAGCCCTTCCCAGCTGTCCTCGGCATTGTGGGAAAGCCTGAGCCTCTTCTAGAGCAGTGCCAGAAAAGATTCGGCCCCTGAAGCGCAGCGTGAGTGCCAGTAACCAAGCATGCTAACTAGCGTGACTGCTAACCACCCAGAGACCAAACCTCATACAAAAAGTAAACTTACAGAAAAGAAGCGAAGAGAGAAAGGAAGCAGAAGGAGTGGAGGACAGGAAAGGATGTGATTGCTAGAGATAACGCAGCCCTTCCAAAACAGATAATGACCACAAAACACTCTTTTTTCTTTCTCACAAGGCATGTGTTTTTACCCCTTGAACAATATTAGCCCTCTTCCCTGAGTGTTATGATGCCCCTGCTCGTAATGAGCAAGGCAGCTGTGTTTGTTTTCCAGCAGTGCATGCTCACACAGGGCTGGGTAAGAATTGTTTTTCCTTCGCTGCCCTCGGTGAGGCTGGAAAGCTCACAGCTGCAACTAAAGAAAAAAAGTGGAGAAAGTGAACAAGAACCAACAACTGCAGGTGAAAACCAAAGAGGAGACTGAAAGGAGAGAGAGAGCACGATGTAAAGAGGTTGAGAAAAAGTACAGATTTTAGCTCTTCTGAAATAATTTGCCCTGACGACACAGCTGTGGAGCTGAAGACAACTGTCTGGCTTTGACAGATCTCTATAACCAGGAACAGATCACACATGAAACTCTTTCCCTCTTCCTCTTGCGTTTTGGAGGTCAGGTCCCTCCAGGAGTGGTTGTGGGGTCAGAGGTCAAAGTTCAGTCAAAGTGTTCACAGGAAGTGTATCCGCTGCAGACTCTGGTTTGGAGCCCTTTTGCAGAGCTCTGTTTAATGAGCCAGGCGGTCACTGGGGAGATCTGCTGTTTCCCGTACTGTACAGGAACCTCCCTGCCACTTCACTCTTTGTAGGCTGGTGACTCACAAAGGAGATTTAGTTCCTCTGATTTGTGTTTTATATGCACATATGTGTAGGTGCATGTCTGTGTGAAAGCATCTGGGTTTCTATGCCAAGAAAAGCTGCACTGAAAATCATTTTGAAAGTGAAAGCTTCAGTACTCCAATTTAGATGTACATGAGGTCCCAATGAATATGCTGACTAGTAGGGATGATGATCTAAGTAATCAAAAGTAACAATACTAGTCTTTCTGTATTATTGATATCACGGAGCACCAAGTTTGGTTCCCGAGTGTTGTCTTGGTGTCACATGAATGGACAAATGCTCTTCTTAGCTAAAAAGCTTGTCTTATTTGGCTTGAGTATTAATGTAACAGTCAGTGAGTGTAAAACGGTAAGACAAAAAAAGGGATGTGTCAAAATATCAGAGATGTGCAATAGGTCTGGCTTTGTATTTTACTGTATTTACTATCCAATATAAAGGAGAAGAAAAAAAAAATCTGTAACAGAGGTGAAAGGTATACTATATCATTAAGTACGTAATATGTACCTGTATTGTATATTACACACACTCTTTCAGGGTAAATAAGGTACAGAGATGTACAAGAATATAACATACTTTTAGATTTTTATTAACTACATGGTAAATAAATAAATACTTTTTTTGTTTAAATTTAATCAAAATTATTTATTTATTTATTTTTTGAAATTTCACTATCATGCCAACCCTAATACTAATCACACCATAACTAAATAAACATGTATTTACAACCCACAATACTTCATACGGTTTTACACAATACAAGTAAAACATCCTATCCATCCATGTTTCAAACTGCGTGTATAATGATGCTGGAGCCTATCCCAGTGTCTCGGATCATTGGCAGAAAAACATCCTATATGCATGGCCAGTCCATTACAAACTTTAAACACAAAAACTCTTTCCACACCTGATTCACACCCCCTCAAACTATTGATTCAAATCATGTTTGCACGAAGCCCACACATTCACCCTTTAGCTCCCTCTCACGCCCACTTTGTGTTCCTAAAGACCACATCTACAACAACAACCACCCAGAGGTGAACCTGCCTGAACTACCGCTGACTCACTGGATCATTCAAGCGCCATAGTGAAAGGAAACTTTACTTATTTTATTGATGTTTCAGGTGAAGAAATCCATCCAAAAACACAAGACCTAGTGACCCCCGAACTTCCTCTCCATGCAACTGCAGCACAAAGCTCATCCGGTGTAGACATGGCAGACACCAGACACCAATAGACACTAGAGGAACTCTCAGGTGCGGTTTCAGTTCTGTGGTGCAGACGATGCTGTATATTTATAGCTACTTAAATTGTATTTAACTCGACTTGTTCTGTGGTTTTCTTGAATGATGATTAATTATTTATTCAGAGCTTTGAAGGTCTGATTGACTTGGCTAGGAAAACCATGTCACATACTTGAGAGGGAAACCACTGGCAGATGGAGAGACACAAAATCGTCCATGCCAAATCAGACCAACAGATGCAACTCCTCTAGTTCTTTACTAGACTACAACAAAGCTACTGTTCTTCTGTGCAGTTCTTATATTTACACCATATACTGCATTTATCATGTAATGTTCATTTGTCAGTATCTGAAGCGAGAGAGAGAGAGAGAGAGAGAGAGAGAGAGAGAGAGAGAGAGAGAGAGAGAGAGAGAGAGAGAGAGAGAGAGAGAGAGAGTCAACTGGATGCAATCCTGGAGTCTTTCATAAGTAGCCCCCCACAAAAAAATAAAAATAAAACAACAACAAAACAACAACAAACAAACAATCATATAGCATTTATATAACATCCATAAATGTGCAGAGAACCACATAGCAGCCCTTATATGACATAACACATAGGAAGAGAGAACCAAAACTCAAAACCAAACTCAAGACAGCAAAACTGTAAACACGTTATCAAATTATCAATAATGCACTTACATAATATAAAAACTTAGGCTATAGATTTACTAAGAATTCAGGTCATAAAGTCAGGGGTCACATATTAAACAATTACACAAATATGTCAACAGCAATAAAAGTGAAAAAGAACCCCCAAATAAAACATCTGCCACATTAATAATAACTCTTTTACTATTGAAAAGTATCACTGACGAATGGACAGTTCTGTTAACATTGAATATTTTTTGTAAGTTTATTCAAAAATAAAGGTATTAATGTGCTCTTATTTACAGTGACGATTGTAACTGTCAGTTAAATGACAGCTGACAGGTCTGCAGTCAAACAAACTAACAGAGTAAGAAGTGGTAGCTAAACGGAAAGGAAAAACATCGGACAGTAGGCTACTAACCTTGTTTATTAGCCTCAGTAATTGAGAGCGAGAACACTATCCTTAGAGCGTCCTTTTGTCTCCCTCTTTTCTGTCTTGTCTTCCTCTGTCGCACTTTCTGATGTGACCCCCTTCTCTCTCTCTCTTCCCTCCTCCGCCGTGTGTTTCTCAGGAGGAAATGAATGGATGGCTCACACG